TCCCTCTGTGGCCCTAATATTCTATCATTTTATATATAGCCTTATAGTCTATGGGAAACTTAAATTATCTAATGATAGCAACATCATCTAAAAATCATCATTTATCCAAAATGATTGAAATTAATGATCACAAACGTTTAAACAATGACAGTGGGTCTAATTATATGTGATAACAATGTATAGTGTGCAGTGAAATAACTATTGGTCTCCGTTTATGGTGACTGCTGACTGACATGAGGGGTGAGATTAAATAAATCCTGGAACTTAGCCTGGTCTGGAGCAGGCTAGCTCCACAGAATAAATCTCCATGGTAATTTATACCATAACATCCTGCCGAAATCTAATCCAGCTTTCGTGCAACCGGATCACGGATAAGTTGAGCCAGGATCACCAAGATATCCCGGCTTAATCCCTTATCCTAGTTTTGTGCAACAGGCCCCTGGATTCACCCTTTTACTGATGGGATATTGTTGTGTACTGACCAGTGATGTGGGAAGACCACCATTCCTGTTGGAGAACTGCTTCTCCCTCACTTGGGTGTAAGTGGGCAATCAGACTGATCCAGTAAAAATGCAAGGGTCTGTATTGGTCATGGGGGTGAGGGGCAGGGGTGTTGCTAGACAAAGTTTTACTGGGGCACAAGCCCCTGTTACTCAAATCACACAATTATTTTTCTTGAATGTCTGCTCCATGAATAAAATGTGCTATGTGAACTTCCCTTGCTTAGCCCACTATTCCACAGCCATACTGCTGCTACTGAAACTGAAACAACTACTGGTAAAGATAAAAATGTAGAGATAACCTTTATGAAAATATTTAAACACACATTAAGAACATTCTTAACATGATTTTATGGCCTAAAAGTCTTGCCCTGTATTGTAGAGTTCTTTGCATTCTTCTGCATTTCACAATAATTTGTCAAGCAGCCCCAGTTTGATTTGTCAAATTCAAACTTTCACAAGTTAATCAACAAATCATTAATTTAAAAAAAGACAATATAATCTTTTTTTGTAACTCACAAGGCCCCATAACATAGCAATGCTCCACCTACAAAATTGTATTGTGCAATGGATGGCATAGACAGCTTTTCCTTCCTCCTTTGGACTCTGTGACAAGAGCATCAAATATTATATTCATTAAAATTCAGAATGAATAGTCCAGCATTAACTTGTGATGTACTATAAAACATACTTGGCACTAATTTTATTTTATGTAGTATACTGATAAATAGCATTTTAAGAATAGTCCAGCTGATCACATGTATTGATGTAAAGAGATCTAACTTACTTCACATTCAACATCCGCGCCTATTTACATGCATATTAACTAAACTAACGTAATCTTGTTTGCTAACTATAGTTAGGTCTTACCTCTCTCATCCTCTTCTCTCCAAACTTCTTCCCTTTCTCATTTTCCTCTAAAGAATTTTCTTATGTCCATCTACATGAGTCAGTAATGTTTGAGATCATCGGTATTATTCAAAAACTTAACCATCACTTGCAGTTCATTCCTTTGTTTGGTTTTGTCCACCAGTACATGGATTACTGCATACATGCTGCAATGCACAAGCTACAATGTGCATATGTGTGCACTGTGGTGTATGAACCCTGACCACCATGCCTCAGCTTGCATTGTGCTTTGATATTCTGGATTAGAACAAATCAATTATTTTCCCTTTATTATCGATCTAAATGAATCCACTGCCAAATATAGATGTTTGTTGAAACTCAAACGTGTGATTTTACTGGGGCACAGCAGATCAATACTGGGGCAGGTGGCCCAATAAAAGGGGTCTAACGATGTCTGTGGTGAGGGGTTTCAGGGGGAATGTTGTAGGCTTGTATGATATGCCCACGTTGTGACAAGTCAGCAAGTAGCTCTTTTATGTTTCCAGCCTAGGAGTTTCCATTGTGCTTTGGTTAGCCATGCTGCTAACATAGCCTACTCTACCTTAGCACCAATTCTACCACCAGTGTGTCAGCATTGTTGTATAAAATTACCATCCAGTACTAACAAAAATGCATGGTGTATCATTATGGTGCATTAACTGTGGCCCAGATTTGACAGTGAATGGCAGGGAATGCTCTTGGTAACAAGATAAACAAGACTCTTCAACATAGCGACTTTGCCTGATGATGTCACCATCAGGTGTGGTGAAAGTTGAACCAGATCCAATTTTTTCATCATACAGAGCTAATCTGGGACTTTAGCCAAATCTACCCCAAGTCCTTTCCTGTAAGTTCAAAGTTCCTGTAAGACTTTTAAGGCATGGACACTTGAAGAACAGAGGTGGGATACAGTAGATGAGATGGAGATGGAGGCAGAGAGGTTGGGCAAGGGTGGATGAACCAAATATCCAAGCATCAACTTAGAGTTTGATCTGTTTTTTGTTTGTTTTGTTTTTTCTGTTTAATCATTGTGGCTCTTATGTTATGGAAACAAGATTAGCAGTGGTGTGAGGAAGTGTAAATTAGAGCTCTTAATAAATTATCAGGTGATATGTACTGTTGTTTTGCAGTTGCAGTGATGAATAGGGGAAAGGGCCCTGGATATCTGGTCCAAAAAGGTACTTGTGTAGTTGCAGACATTTAGTATGAGCTCTGTGTCTTTAGTTTTCTTTTAACAGTTTTAGTATTTATTGCTTCAGTCAAACAACTTATTTTACATTTTCACTGACCTATGTATTCATGTATAGTCAACAACCTGTGTGACTCTGCCAAACCCCTCATTGTAGCAACAGTGAACAGTGTATTTGGTCAAATGAGCACAACCCATCCTGGCTCGTGTAAACCGGTTTATGGTGTACAGAAGTGGGTCAGATTGTGCAGTGAGGTGGAAGTACAGAGTGGGTCTGACAGCAGCAGACAGCTAAATGCTCACTGGGATTGTGTCCACATGGTTCTATTAACTAAATTCAGACAAGTTGCAGCTGTTGGTGGCAAGTTATTTTTCCTGGCTCTCTGGCTGCTGTTGGAGCACAAGGTCTTAATTCTGTCCTCATTTTCTTCTGCTCATCCACTACGTTCAGAAAGTAAAATATTTACTTTTGCAATCACAGCATCTGGCACCCCGCACTTCGCCAACCCCCCCACTGTAATTGTGATGGTTGGCCTGCCTGCTCGAGGAAAGACGTACATCTCCAAGAAACTCACCCGCTACCTTAACTGGATTGGCATGCCCACGAAAGGTATACAACATACAAACATCCCCACATATTTCAATCCTAGCACAGTTTGTTTAGCAGCTTATCAATTATACAATGGCACTTTTGTTTCTCCCTCCAGGACATCATTATTGCATTATTGTTTCTCTCTTTTTCCATGTGTGTTATAGTCTTCAACGTGGGGGAGTACCGCAGAGAGGCAGTCAAGAACTACAGCTCCTATGACTTCTTCAGGCCTGATAATGAGTGTGCTGTGAAAATCAGGCAGTAAGTCCCACACACATACACACACACAGTGTAGCACTATTTATCACTGTAACAACAAATTAATATTTCCTCCACCTTGTTCTTCAGGCAGTGTGCCTTAGCAGCTCTGAGGGATGTCAAGTCCTATTTGAAGGATGAAGGAGGTCAAGTAGCAGTGAGTTTCCCATCATTAATTGTTTTCAAAAACAGTCCTCATTTTATGGCTTGATGAAACAACTCTTACTCTAAAACCCATCTTCTGCAAATCCCTGTTATTTTTCTTGTAGGTGTTCGATGCCACAAACACAACAAGAGAAAGACGGGAAATGATCCTCAAGTTTGGCAAAGAGAATGGATTCAAGGTAAGTGTTGTTACAGCAACTTGAGGTTTGGTGTCACTGACAATGCAGCAACTTTCAAGGACTTTTGCTTTTTCTGACCAGATCTTTTTCATTGAGTCTGTGTGTGACAATCCCAGCATCATTGCTTCAAACATCATGGTGAGTCACAAACATGATGTCACATGGCATTCTTGCGCCGTGTTAAATGCCTTAAAATGTTTATAACTCTGTGGCATCAGGTGTGTTATTTGATTATATGCTCTTTCTCCCTTTGCAAGGATGTGAAGGTGTCTTGTCCAGACTACCGGGACTGCAACAAGACAGATGCCATATTGGATTTCCAGAGGAGAATTGAATGCTACAAAGCCAGCTACCAACCTCTAGACCCTGATCAGCATGATAGGTAAATCAACAGCATTTTGAGAACATTACTGTGTCAGTGCAAATTGATTGTTCATCCTGTCTTATATGCTCTCTTCCTTCAGGGATCTCTCCTTCATTAAGGTCATTGATGTAGGTCGTCGGTTCCTTGTCAACCAGATTCAGGATCATATCCAGAGTAAGATAGTTTACTACCTGATGAACATCCACGTCCAACCCCGAACCATCTACCTGTGTCGGCACGGAGAGAGCACTGACAACCTGAAAGGACGACTGGGTGGCGATTCTGGCCTCTCGACACAGGGACGACGGGTATGAATAGCCACAGACAGTACTCTAGAGAAAATTACAAGATTTTTATAATTGGTAAACCTCTGGTTTTAAATATTGTTCCTGCCCTGGTGTAGTTTTCAGCTGCTCTGGCTAAGTTTGTGGAAGATCAGCAGCTGAAGGATTTGAGGGTCTGGACCAGCCAGTTGTGTCGCAGCATCCAGACCGCTGAGCACCTGGGAGTCCCATATGAGCAGTGGAAGGCACTAAATGAGATTGATGCTGTGAGTGTCACCCTAACACATTTTTAGACTACACAATGATATCTCTTATTACAAACTGAAATGTTATGTTTGTATTCTTTTTTTTTTTTAGGGTGTATGTGAGGAGTTGACGTATGATGAAGTGAAGGAGAAATTCCCAGAGGAGTTTGCTTTTAGAGATCAAGATAAATACTACTACCGCTATCCTGCTGGAGAGGTACACACAGTCGACACACATCGGACCTGTCTTCATGATTTAGGACATTGCTGTGGTCCAGGATTTTGTCCTAAAAATGCCACCCTACTTCAGAAAGATAGGATATATTTATGATCAAATAAACGTATTAATTTTTTGACTGCAGTCCTACCAGGACCTGGTCCAGCGAATGGAGCCAGTCATCATGGAGCTGGAAAGGCAGGAGAACATTCTAGTTATTTGCCATCAGGCCGTCATGCGCTGCCTGCTGGCATACTTTTTGGATAAGAGTGCAGGTAAGTACTACAGATCCTCTGGTTATTGTCAAAATCTAAATAATGATACTCCAAACTGCTGCATCTCTGTTCATATCTCTGTTTTCCTGCCATTCCAGATGAGATGCCCTACCTGAAGTGTCCCCTCCACACGGTACTGAAGCTCACCCCAGTCGCTTATGGCTGCAGAGTGGAGTCCATCTCTCTGAATGTGGAGGCAGTAAACACTCACAGAGACAGACCTGAGGTACAGTAATTCTTGATGAAATGATTACTAGGAATCTCTTGCTCATTGCTAGAGAACTGTCACATTCTTCATTAATACTGCGGGTGACAGCAGCACAAGAAACTGGCATTCTACAGAAGTCATAAAACAATGTATGATTATTACGATAGTTGGAGAATGAATAATCATTATTATTGTTGTAAGGGTACTACTATGACACAAGGCTCCATCTCGTTATTTTTCATTGTCCTAACTACTGTTTTGTATATACCACGCCGATCAATCAAACTAGATTAACAGAGTATATAACCCATTCCCCCTTTTTATTTATATGATCAAAATTGCTTTATTATTTTTTTTATCTTTTATTGTTATTTTATTATTACAATCATCCATTTTCTCTCTGACTGTCTAATTTACCCATTCATCTTTCTCCACAATTAACAAACGAGTTGTATTAGGGGATGCTCCGCCCTGTCCCCAGCAGCTGGGGCATGCAATTTGGGGTCACTCTTGGGGTCTCCAGGGTGCACAGCATGGGAGAGGAAGGCCAGGTCAATGTTTCCTTTCGTTTAACTACGTATAGCATCACTGATCCGTTGACACCCTCTTAGACAAGCTCCGTCCTCAGGGTCTGTGTACTGTTTAGGATGGGAACACACCACACATTGGGTCAGGTCTCTCCTGTCAATGTCAGGGGCCTCCCCCCTTTTCCCCTGAATTTATTAATTTATTTGGTTACATTAAAATTTTCTTTAATATATACTGAGTATCAGACTGCATAGGGTTGGATACACCCACACTACAGACTTCCACACACAAACTAAATTTAAGAATCCTTTTGTCTCTTTTGTTAATGTGTGTTGTTTTATCATCTGTTATGCCCTTTGTCCTGTAAATGTGTTATTTCATATTGCAATAAAAAATATTGTAGGTGACAGAATGGTTCATTAGAACAGGAAATGTTACAAAGAACTGGATAAATCTTGGGCCGCTATTGTACTCCTGTTGATACCTATTAATCATTTTTGTCTTTTTACATGAAACCACCCAGAGTTACATATTCCTTTGCTCTGACAAATACTTCCATTAGCTACTTGATTTCTGACTCTAAGCCTCGTATGTATAACATTTATTGACCCTGCAGGACGTGAAGAGGGGTCCTGGTACCTTGATCAGGAGGAACAGTGTGACTCCTTTGAGAAGCCCTGAGTCACATATCAAGAAACCTCGCATTGATGACTTGGATGAGGCTCCCATCCAGGAGCTGCCACCCTCTGTTGCCTCAGTGGCGCTCTGCAGCCCCTCACACCTTCCTCTCACTCTGGCTGGACAGGTGGGTTAATCAAAAACATACTTTAAGAGGACCAAATTATTTATACTTAAGTTTTGAGAAGTTGATATTTTATGCCAATTGAAAAAGGGTTTAAAAAGTAGTTTGTGCTTCTGCAGAGAATTCTTTTTGAGTATGGACAACCATTTGAACAATATTTATGATATCATGAAGCACTAAAAAAGCAGAATGAAACATTTGCGCCAGCAGTTTCTTCCTTGACAGTTGTTCACTTACTTCTGTCCTGTCTGCTTTTCCTCTGCTTCCTTCTCCTCTGCACGTTACAGCACTGGCTGGGCAGTTTGCCTGTAAGTATTGCTCCGAGCAGTATCTCTGGCTGCCTTGCCCTGTCTATCTTAATCCTCCACTCTCGTCCTGTTGTTTCCATTGTGTTCATTGTTTTACATTTCTTTTCCCTGACTTGTATAATACTTAACCGAGAGAAGCAAATGTTTAAGTTGTTTTCATTCTTAAATCTCATTTGTAAATGTAATTATCAAAACAAATAACATTGTACATTTTGCTTATAATACAAAAATATACATATTGAACCTTTCATGGTCTTATGTACAGTACACTGTGCTAGCAGTTTCAGTAAAATTATTTTTTGTGCCAAGAAACAGTATATTCTTGTTACAGTAGGTCTGTACTTTCCCAGACTTGATTAAGAGGAAATGATACTTTGTACATTTCCTGGCATTGAGGGAAAGGGAGAAAAAATTCTTTCCTACTATATAGGCGTGGACCTGAATATCCAACTTATCAGATATTTGTTTATTGGGTAGGTAATCAACTTTCAATTTTAATATTTGAGCCCACCCCTCCAAAATTCAGCAGCACAGCAGTGCCATAGGCATCTGCACTCTTTTACCTGCAGCACAATGCCAACCGCCTGAGTATTCACTGATTATTTCCACTGAATATCTGGAGCCCAAAAATTGCCAGTCAGGACAGCCCCACTACTGTATTTATTCATAGGGAGCTCTTAATGCCCAGTTTACATTTTTGGCTTTCCTGTTTATAGTCATCACTGTGTTCTGCTTGTTACTATCAAGAATGTGAAGTTGTCATCAGTTTTGGGTAAATGCGCCATTTTGGTGCATTTACGATGCATGATGGCCTGGTAGCTAGGATTCAGCCCTCTCACCGCTACAGCCCGGGTTAGATTCCTGGTTGGGAAACCTCTAGCCACAGAGGTTTCATTCCAGTGACTTCTGCGCCGGTCCCAATCCTGGATAAATAGAGAGGGTTGCGTCAGGAAGTGCGTCCGGCGTAAAAATCTTACCAAATCTCAAACCATGCGAATCGTCATTGTAGTAACCGATTATTCGCTGTGGCAATCCCTAACAGGACCAGCTGAAACTAGCCATGCTCATTAGCCATTATAGAGATATACACTACATAAATATACTGTATATTAATAAAAGAAAAAAATACTCTCCCATACAGTAGTGGCTGCTTCAACTACATGCATATGTCCATTTTAGTGTTCATTTTGAGACAGGACAGAAACAGATTCATGTATTATCTGACGACCGTCATTAGCTAACAAACCGAGAGCTGGTTCAGTTATTTTTCAGTCTGTTGCTCTCATTGACAGGATTACTAGGTCTGCTACAGTCAGCTAAAGTTCTGAATTATCCAAGTTAGTGTTATTTTTGCTGGCACAGTGTGAATAGTGCTGATCTTGCCTACTTCATTCACAATCAGTTAGGATAAGGATAATCACCTTTGTTGGCCAAGTATGTTACACACAAGGAATTTGTTTCCGGTACAGAACCGATGGCAGCCGTCTGCCAACTGATGGCTCTAACCATCGGGGGCAACGGGGGTGTTCAGTGTCTTGCCCAAGGACACTTTGACATGTAGACTGCAGGCAGCGAGATTCGAACCTTCAACCTTCCGGCTGGGAGACGACTGCTTTACCCACCACACCACTATCACCTCCCCCCAGTTGAGGATTAATGCAGTGCAGGCACAGACAGTCAGCCACTGCAACCTGTTCACACACACTCTCATTACCACAGTGCCAGATTTTATAGCCTCTACAAGTATCAGGAAATGAGGGCCTAAGTTTAGGCCAGGGGATATTTATAAAAGACCTCTCTTTTGTGTTTTTACTGAAGACCTGGTGGATAAATGTGATGTGTTGCATAGTTAATAGTTGCCTTTAATACAGAATGCATCTCAAATCTGTTATTGGTGCACTTTTCTGTGTTTGCAGAACCTGAGGAGGAGCTTGTCTGTTTGCCATGATGTCCTGCAGCCCTGCCTTTGAAGTTGTACTGGCTCAAATGGCCAGAATTTCAATCACTGAAAACAACATGAGAAAAGAAGTACATTCGAAAAGCAACATTCTCAGTCTGTTAAATTTCAAGGATCAACTTAATTTGGTGTTCTGTCAGATATGGCTTCTTGCCATTGTCACATTTTCTTTCTCTCGGAGACTGGGAAGCTTTTAGTGTGACAGCTGTATATACGTCACTCAGGCTGCCAGAGGCAAACTGTGACTTATTTAAATCAGCAGTTGTTGCTGTCACATCCCACAGCTCAGATGGCTTTCTGGAGAACCAGTTTGTTCCACTTAATGGAGAGCTCAAAGACCAAGCCTCGCACACTGATAAAACTTTAAGCAGTTTTTTTTAATAGTTCTCTTATGGTTGTGTTATTAACTATCAGAACAATATAGGATTTAGTTCAAATGGCAAACTTTAATTTTTCACGTTTTTCTAAAATGTGGCAGAGACTAATGATTTAATTGACTCACTTTTATGCCGACATGCTACAAAAGAAGCAGCTCATTTTGCACAGTGGGGATACTTTTGACTGGTCTATGTGTCACAGTTTTTGGTTTTCACGGTAAATGCCGTAGAGTGCCTGTAATGCTTGTTTTGCAAGCCTGATGCCCGCTGTTTCTCTGGACCTGAGGAGAGGTATCATATTTCATCTAATAGCTCCACATATAATTTCAATATTTTATTTTACACAGTAAAAATATTTTTCCTTATTTTGTTTAAAAGCTACAGTACATGTTACTTATTTAGTTCTCAACACTGAGGGGAAACTTTGTTTTTGTTGTCATTGTCTGCTATGCACAAATCCAAGCACCTAGTATATTTTTATCATAACAATGCCTCCTGTTAATAACATCTTTGTAAAATCTTAGTGTACATATGGGTGTAACTGGAGATATGTCGGACATGATTTGGAAGCCTCATGAGAGGCTTGTGGTTCAAATGAAAGTATGTGTAGCTGTTTTTTGTACTAATGTGTTGGGACAGAATGGAGAGCACCATCTCTTGAAAGGAAGCTGCTGCTTACCTGTCAGTAAATCTTTTAGCATGTTACTTGAAATTTGTTTTTGTCATCTTTTATTATATTCTTTATTTATTTGTAGTTGTGGAAAACAATTTGAAGCAACTGTTTTAATTTAAGGGTCTAAGAATGAGAGGACAGTGTGCTGTACATTTGATTTGTGCATTTGCTGGACCAATAAAGTCACTCTGGGAAAATACGGTGTTTGTTTTCATTGGCCCAAATCCAACATTAATATTTTGCCTAGTCTTTCCTGTTTCTGTTTATGGAGTTCATCTGCAGACTATACAGTGTGTTCTGGCACTTTTGCCTTCAGTGTCTCACACATTGACAAGATTCATGAGTCACACACTGTGAGCTGCCTGCTGCTTATCAGTCTAATTGTGACCAGGTGCCTTCAGGATGTTGCTAGGAAATATTACATCAGTGTGGATAATAAAACAACCTCCTTTCTCCAACAAGATTGAGCACAAAGTTGGATAATTGCACTTGGAAGTATAGTGGTGAAAATATTCCATGGTAGATTAAAAAAATTTATATATATTTTACAAGCCAAAAGTATTTGATCATATACTGACTGATTACTCAACAGGTCTTTGAATTTTGAAATATTTATGTTTCTGAAATGACACAGAGGTCCAGATAAATGTGGCTGACAACATTTTACAAAAGCAGGTAATATTAACATATTGCAACCAACCACATTTTCAAAACTCAAATTAGTAATGTGGCTGGCTTTATGGTGACATACATATGTGGCAAGTCTGTAAAATCAGAAGTAATTTTTTTGACCATATCCTAATGGCTTGCTGGATCCCTGGGCTTTCCTCCTAGTACCACCATGAAGTTGACATTTGTTGTTTTGAGGATTACCATTTTATACACAGAGGTAATTCAAAGCGTTTTACAAATGCAAAGAGAAGCATTAGCAGCATTAAAAACTACAGGTATTAAAACCAGAAAAAAATGTTAAGACAAAATAAATCATTGATAAAATAAAATAAAATTTATAAAATGGAAAAAAATCTATACAAAACAAAAGGTCATAAACAGTCATAGTGCAGCATATGCCACCACACTAAATGATAAACATGCTAAACCTGCTAACCAATGTTGGCACTGTCATCAAGCACATTAGCATGCTGACATTAGCGCTTGGTTCTTTGACACTGTTTGATAGCTTCCCAGGCACTAGTTTTATTCACCACAGAGTAAGGACATGGAAGGCAGGATGAGGTTAATCAAATATTTTGATCTTCATTCAAATACAGTACACCACAGTATGGGAGAACAAAACCACTTCAATCTGCCTTTAGTAGATGGGTGACTGTTTATGCATGGTTTAAGTAAAGCAATAAAATCTATCCTGAATATTTATCCTGATGAACTAAAACAAAAATACCCACATTACACATTCAACTTAAATACAGGATAGAATCATATGTATTTACTATAGGTTAATTATGTAGCCTAGGAAATGATCTTACTAAACAGATGATTTATATGAGAAGAAATTAACCGATATAGCTGAGAATATATACTGTACATATACACAAGAAGAAATTGATATAGCTGCCAGCAAACGAATATTAAACTTTTCAAATAGAACTACTATTCTTGTGCCCCCTGTTCATCTTACATCTGTGGGAATACAAATGGATATCTGATTCCCTACCACTTGCCAGGCATCTAAACACAGAATGATGATATAAAAACAGAGGGGAAAATCTGACATTATTCTGATGCCTATCTGTAGCCAACGAGACTTCATATGCTTGCTAAACAACACAACATCAGTGTTGATCCTTTGACCTGCTGCCACTTTGCTTGTTTGGATGATGAAGATTCTTTTGCACAAGTCACCTATAGCAACTGACATTGCTACTTGGTGATTCAAGAATCTGTTAATAGTTTATGGGTCACCTGGGTATTAAGTATCAAAAGTTAAAAAAAGGGGACTGATTTCAACTATTCTAACTATATCTCAGTGCCAAAATGTGGGTTAATTTATGTCCATTTCAGCCCTTTGTGAAACTTGTACCTGTGTGCTTTTGAGCACCATTGGCTTCTTACTGTATATCCTTTTTGAATTTAACAGTAAAGCAGCTGGTTTAAACATAGACCTGGTATTTAAATATCTTATGTGACATTTCTACTATTTTCCATAAATTATCTGATACTTCTATTGCCCTGGAAATGTTTTTCCTAAGGGATGGGCATTTGGCTCTACTGCAATAAAAACAAGCAGACCACCATCTAATTCAATGAGTCAGCCAAACTATACTTATTAATATAAAATTAAAAATAAAATTTGCAGATTTTCTGAGTTCCCTGATTATTCATGTTCCAATGAAGATGACTACTGATGATTTTAGTGACTACCTGATGTTTCATTTAGCATCATCATTGGGTTCAAATTAGAAATGCGTATTAGTAGTATTTTAACTTTTTAATCTTAATCCTCAATTGCACTCAATCTTTGCCATTCCAGATGATGTATGCAGTGGCATGTCATTTTTTCTCCTAGACTCTTGAGTCTCCCATTCATTAATTTCCAGACACTGAAAAATACACACTTTAAATTTGCCATTTGAATGGAATATTCCCTCAAGTCTGAATCATGGGTAAACTTAGTGTCTTGGCTCTGGTCATCTTGTGTGGGCAGGGAGGCTATGTGACTGCTGTCAGGTTCACCACTTACTGCTCTGCCCCTCTCTCTCTCTCTCTCACACACACACACAGTAAAACACTTGCATTGCCTCCTCAGCAGTCACCTCACCACTGTAACTAAAACCTAGTTTGCATTTGGCTTTGCATGTTGTTCTTGTTTAAATTGGGCCACTTTACCTATGCAAGTGTCTTATTGCAAATTATTTTTGTGTCACTGTCATTCCAGTGGATTATTGGCCTCTTCTATGTTTTACTTGCTTTTATCTAGGCCTCTTCTATGTTTTACTTGCTTTTACTGTATCTGTCTCTTATTGCACTCTCAAATGTGAACTTAATGAAAAGTGTCATATAACCTTTAATTACTGGTGGCTCAGCTGTCTAAGTATGACTTGGACTTGTACATGACCTAGTGTTGGTACTGGTGGTTATGCTGGCATGTATGTGTAATCTCTATGGGAGACAAGACGTTGCTGTGTCAGGCATATGAATGGTACGTGGACTTAATGTTAACAGGCAGCACTAAGCCAGCAGCTCCACAAATAGCTGCCTAATTCTGTGCAAGACAGATTGTGTGCCCAAACAGCCAGGTTAACAGTATACAAAGAGAGTATGGACACTGGCACAGTTGGTCAGTGGAGATCACTCTATCTAAAACTGTCTTACTTCAGCATGGATAGTTGAGATTAGCATAAAATAGAAAAAAGCTTGGTATCATTTTACTAACATCAACACACTCTCATTGTTAAGTGCCTCATTATTGCCAGGTGAGCAGGCATAGTATCTCCCATTCTGTCTTTGTTGCTGCTTTGTCATGGCTCAACAGCTTGTCCTCCTTTACCTGCTTAGCTCCTCCCAGTTAACTCCGCACATGTCTCTATCACACATGCATACATACAAGCACAGAGACACCCAACCACACATGAACTCTTTGACCTGCACAAAAATACACACATTCACTTACCCTATTTCCAACCTGCTTTACTTGCAGGCGTTGTTTCTGTAGCTGCCACATGGCTGATGATTTAAACACCTAAATAGAAAGTCACTTTAGACCTTTCCCATTTAGGGGTCACCACAGCCAATCTTCACACTGACGACTTGCATGTTGACATTTGCCATGTGTTTTACGCTGGATGCCCTTCCTGACGCAACCCTGACTCAAAACCGGGCCACAGCAGCGAGAGTGCTGCGTCTTAACCACTAGCCTACCAGGGACGGCATTTAAACACCTACATGCAATGAATAAATGGTTGAAATAGCTAAAAGTGATGCATCAATTACTGAAAGCTAAAAGTGTTATTAATAGTTAGCATTTAGTTGAAGTAGTCAACAATCGCCTGTATCCGGGATCTTGCTCTTTCGATCATGACCCAAAGCACATACAATTTATGGATAAATGGTTGATACCTACAGCATCTGCTACTCCAAGTGGTTGCTGTATGCATACAAATCTAATTTAAGTATATTAAGCACTGGCAGCTCAATTGTATGGTACATTATGGTATTGTAACAATATTCACCTTCATATGATTAATGGTTAAATAATACCCAGTTTATCATTTTAAATGACCATTTGGAATAAATGGTGCTTATGAAGGAGTTAAACAGTGAGACAGTGGGGTTGCAGCTGACAAAAAAGGCTGGGAAACACTGGCCTACATACCTTTGTGCCTGCACTGCATTAATGTCAGTAAACACACCTTTATGTCTTTATGACAGTTGGACATGAATCCCATTTTCACAGAGGCTTTGCCGAAAATATTTGTTTTCCTGTAAGGACATAGCAACACATTTCTGTCAGACTCATGAGTGGAAATTTACTGCCTAAAAAAAGATTTGAAAGCTGCACTCCTGAGACACTGCTGCCATTTATCTCCAACAGGCCTAACCAGTTTGAAACAGATACTACAGTATAGTTTGTATAAACTGAAATTTAATCTGTAAAGTGACAGGGCATTGCAAATGTTTTCATGATATACATTTTTTACAAATGTCTGCATTTTTATCTTATGCTGTAAATTTAGGATTCACACATTGTCACTTCATTGGTGATTGAACATCATTAATGCCTTTAAGCAAGGCAAAGTGCCTGACTAGATGCTCAGCAGCTGACAGTACAAAATATGTCTGTTGTGCAGAGTATACACTGAAGTTGACCATGTTTTTGTTTTGTTTTGTTTTGGTTTTATTAAGAATGCATTACATCCATTATTCATAGGACGGAATGTAAATTTATCCCTCTTTCTTTTTAAGGCAAGGAAAAGCAAGGCAACTTTATTTATATAGCACATTTCATACACAGAGGTAATTCAAAATGCTTTACAGAGGCAAGGAAAACAGTAACAGCATTAAAAACAATAAGAAGGGTGGTTATGGATGGGGAAATTTTGCACTGAATAGAGAGGAGGTCACCAAACCTTGAATGGAACAGGGCAGATTAAATAGAATGTGTTATAAATAAAATACATCCACAGGTGCACCTCCTATTGACTCAAATGATGTCATTTAGCCGATCAGAAGCTTTTAAAT